AAAAAAAGAAAAGTTACTGTGAGCTTTCCATGAGGAAACTGTTGAATGCACAGGTGGCTGCTGCAGGAGCTGAGATTTTTCCATGTTACTCAATAAGCAGCCCTGTTTTCACAGAAAGGGGGGGTAGGAGGAGTCTCCAATTTCCCTGAAAATGATGTTACAAATAGCTAAAGCTTCACTGAATGCGGTTCTCAAGAGGAACACAACATTCACCTTCCTGACATGACAAACCCCCAGCTGATGAGGCCGCGCGTGTCCGGATGGCTGGCAGACCCATCTCCTGTGCCTCCTTCTGCAGCCTGTTGCGCCCACCTCATCATTCGCTGGGCCTGGCAGGACCGAGCTGTCCCGGCTGCCAGTGCTCACTGGTGGCGAACGGGAACATTCTGTAGCTTCTGCCTCCCTCCGAGAGAGATCGCAAACTCTGGGCACACCTTTTTTGTAGTTTATTAGTAAATATATCCATCAGTTCCGCCTCAGCCAACAGTTTTCTCATCTTTTCTAACTTTTTTCTCTCCAGTCCTTTTCTAAGCACCTCAAACACACAAAATCCTCTATTACTCTCTATATGTATCTCTTCCTCATTCCTCTTCTTACTGTATTTTAAATCAAAAGGAAATCCATAAGCATTTTCTGGACCTATATGTTAATTATTCCCAAATTGGAGTCTCTGAGAATCACTGAGCTTCACTTTTCCATATCCAGGCACCTCCTGGATGCCACGTGGATGTTCCACAAAGCTCCCCCATACTCAGCTCCCACCGTGGGCCTCTCACCCCAAGTCCCCTTCTCTTGCATTCTTAGATTCACCGGGACTACCTTCCACCTATCCGGCTCTTCCAGAACCATTCAGTCTAGGTAGCTCTTCAACCTGACTTCACCAGCTAGCCCTGCCCTATCATCCCTCAACTGAAGTAGGACAGTATCCTGGTTACAGTCTTGATCTCACTGAAATCCATTCTCCACTCGTCTTCTAGAAGGCCCTGGAGAGACAATCCCCTACACAGAGCTTCAGACTCCCATTGTATGCAGCCATATACTGAGAGGCATCGGTGGGAGTATAGATTGTAACTTTTTTTTGATCAGAGTACTCCAAGATTCCTACATCACATGTTTGCAATGAGGAAAGAGAATTATATTCAAAGTCACTTTTGCTTGCTTGCTTCTTTAAAAAAAAAGTGTGTTTATGTATGAGTTTTCTATTGCTGCCAGAACAGTTTCATGGCTGAGCAGTCTGAGCATAAGGGGCCTCAGCTGGGTCCTCTGCTGAAGACCTCACAAGGCTGAAATCAGGCTGTCTGCTGGGCTGCGCTCTTCCCTGGAGGCTCTGGGAAAGATTGTGTTTCCAGGCTCATTGAGGTTGTTGGCCGAATTCAATTCCTTGCAGTTGTAGGATGGAGGTCCCAGCTGTCAGCTGGGGGCCAGTCTTTGCTTGTAAAAGCTGCCCACGTTCCTTCTCATGCAGTCTGTGCGGCCCCTCCAGCCCGGGCCGGTCCAGTCCCTCTCAGGCTTCACATCTCACCCACTTTCCCTTCCGCTACATCTTTTGCCCCAGGTGGAGAAAGTTTGGTGCTTTTAAAGGCTCACGTGATTCAAGTGGGCCTACCCACATAGTCCAGAATAATCTCCCAATCGTAAAATCTGTTGCTTACGGCTGCAAAGTCTTTTGCCATTTAATGTAACATGTTCAGAATTTGCAGGTGTTAGGGCATTGACATTTAGGGGGAAACATTCTGCCTTCTACAGCCTACAGAGAACAGAGAGAAACTTGTTCAAGGTAAGATCATAGTGTTCTGTCTAGATATTGTTATGGGCTCTCACTTTTTACCTTAATGTGACAGAATGTGAGAGGAGTGCGAGGCGCTCCCGTATTCCAGAATGCTCAGCTTCACCATGCTGACAAAGACTCCAACTTCCTCTGCGATCCACTACCTTTGCCCCATAAGCTTGCCGTTTGGGGCTCTACCTACTGATGAGCCAGATGAGCCAGACTCCGGTCTACAGTATTTAAAATTCTGACTAATAACTTAAAAAGGAAAAGTAAAACCTTAACCAGGCCCAGTCTCTTGGTTTCTTTTCTGCTTTGCTCTTCACGGTGAGTTCTTTTCACCCCGCGTTGCCAGTTTGGCAGACCTCCAATCAGTGCTAGGGTGATCTGTCTACAATGCAAAAATATGTTTTCCTTCCTGGTTAAGGTTCTCTTCTGCCGCCCAGTCACCAGTCACAGAGTGGAGGCTCTACCTTGGGGGCAACACACCAAGCTTGGGGTCCTACTGGTGAGGCAATGGCTTCATACCAGGCAAGCCGAGGGCACCTTAGGCTGCTGCCTCCGTCCCTCCCCCAAGCACTCCGCTCTTAGGATGTGTCGCTCACAGAAGCTCGCTCGCTATTCCCCAGAACAGTCTCCGTCCCCAGAAATTCATGTCCAGATCTTTCTGTGGATTTTACTTTCACTTGGATGAGTAACTAGAAGTTCAACTGCTGGGTCACATGGTAACTATATATTTAACTTAAAAAAAAACACCCTGTTTTAGGGGTGCCTGGGTGGCCCAGTCAGTTAAGCGTCTGACTCTTGATTTCGGCTCAGGTTTTGATCTCAGGGTCCTGGGATCGAGCCCCTCATCTGGCTCCCCGCTCAGCGGGGAAGGGGGTCTGCTTGTCTCCCTCTTCTGCCCCTCCCCCTGCTTGCACCCTCTCCCTCTCTCTCGAATATTTAAAAAAAAAAGTTTTATTCTGTATATATTTCTATGTCTAATGTAGACAACCATTTACTAGATTGTGTTTTTGAATATATTGTTTCAACTTTTAAGAAAATGCCAGGATTTTCTCCCCCAAAGTATTTGTGCCATTTTACATACAGTGTTGTATGAGACTCTGGTTTATTTTACGTCCTCACCAACATTGAATTATTAGTCTTTTATTTTTTTTATTATTATTTTTTTTTACATACTTAAGAACTCCATTTATGCAAAGTTCAAAAACTGGCAAAAGGAATCCATGGCAATAGAAATCAGGACAGTGTTTGTAAACCTTTGGAGGGGAGATGATATTGACTGGAAGGAAACAGAAAGGGAGCATCTTGGGAGTGCTGTTAATATTTTGTTTTTTGATTTGTATATTTGTGATGCCCCCTTCCAGAATGGAGAAAAGGCCTCCCGGAGGCCAGGCCAGGGACCCCAGAGGACACAGAATAGGGGGTTTTCTTCCAGAGGGAAGAATCAGGGTCTTTAAAAAAAAAAAAGCCTCCTAATCACTAAACTCTACCTCTGAAACTAATAATATACTATATGTTAATTAACTGATTTTAAGTTAAAAAAAAAGAAAATACAGAAGCCTCCTCTGTGGTCAGGACAGAATTTCGTAAGTGCTGTACTGGAATCTGCCTTTTCCTTTGAGAATCTAGTCTCCGCTCACCACTGTACATTGGGAGCGGGGGTGGGGCTCAGAAGTTGCCCTTCAGCTTCAAGGTCAGTGGATCCCAACTTTTCTCCTGTGACTGGACAGGAACTGAGCTACCCCTTTGGGAGGGGAGTGCAGCATGCGTGGGAAGGAAAATGTCCAGATATCCAGGGGCCAGAGGGTGTCTGCCACCAGTGCTTCTTCTCCTCCAGAAGATGGAGGTCTTGCTGGGAAGCGGGGTTGGATCCGGGGAAAGGCGACACCCCAGTGACGGCCAGCAGCAGGCACCCGCCCCCACTGGAGCCGCCTACAGCGCTGTCCGGGGTCCTCCCGGCAGCCCCGCCGCCCCAGCCCCAGCGCTAATCGCGCGGCTTCACCACCAGCGGCAAGGTAGATGCCAGGTTCTCATCACCTCCCTCTCCGAATTATTAGTCTTTTAAATTGTAGTGTGTAGTGGTATCTTGCTGTGGTTTCAGTTTGCATTTGTCTGATGTCTAATGATGTTGAACATATTATCATGTGCTTATTGGCCGTTGGTATATTGTCTTTTGTAGGGTGTCTGTTTAAATCTGCCCATTTTTAAATTGGAGTGTTTTCTTGTTACTGAATTGTAAGCATTCTTTCTGTACCCTATGCACAAGCTTTTAGCA